ACCTGTGAATATTACTGGATAATTTGAATGTGGATCGTCATTGATAAATACGGCAGCATAAATGCAAATCGGGGAGAAATGCACTTTTTACCTTGCAAAGGCCTCACAAAATACAGAAGTACGTATGAGAGAGAATTTACGTTAAACATGTGACTAGCAATTAGGAAGCAATTTAAAATATTTTAGTAGATGCTTAAAAAGCCATCCTTTTACAGAGGAAGTGATCTCCCTTGATTGGAAAAATCACCTAACTTTATATGAAAAAAATAAAAGTTTAATACTTTTTTTTTTAAGTAAGTAATAAAATTGAGAAAAATAAATCAAAAATGAACTACAGAAATGTGGCAAAAAAAAGATCTATAGACAGAAGTTCAAGGGCAATGGAGTTTTGTGCATGCTAAGACAAGGAGAAACTCGCTTATTTTGTTTCTAGATAGAAGTTGGGGATTTGTCAACAAAAATGTCCCAAAAGAGCTATAAAAGTCACACTTAAAAAAAAAATCAGCTTGCTTAGATAATTTGTAGCCAAGAACTGGAGAGGAAATCCCTGGGCTGGCCCAGTCCATCTCCTCAGGCACAGGTGAGCAGGCGGCAGGGACTGCTCTTGTCCAGCCTTGGACACCTCCTTGGAGAACCCTCGCTTGAGGGCTGCTCAACCTCCCTTCTCCTGTAGCTCAACTGAGAGGAGCAGGCGCTTTAGAATGAAATTAATCTGGCCAAAAGTAGACTTGCAAATGTGGTTTGAAGCATCTCATTCTAATGCACTATCCATAAGGTTGTCCGAGTGCCTTACGTTTCTCAGGATGGCTTGTGAGGCATCAGTCCTGGCTCCCAGTGTGATCCTACAGCCCAAAGAGTGGATGATATCCTTGGGTGTATAAATAAGGTGATCTTGAGTGGGAAAGAAGAAGTTACTTGATCTCCACATTTGACACTCATGTCATTCCTACCGGAAAGTTGGGTCATGTTCCAATACCTACAAGAGAGGAAAGCGATGCTGTGCTGAAAACATTCAGAGAAGAGCTGGGAGACTTCTCAGATTTCCTGCAGGACCATGCAAGAGTTGGAGAGACACAGGAGAATATCATTTGTTTTTGTAATGTAAAATACAGTCACCACTTTAATAAATGTGCAAATAAATATACACACATTTAAGAGGGGAATAGGAAAAAACAGCAAGGTAAGAATAAATTAGGATTTTAAATTCACATAATTTCTACTATCTGAATTGCCCTCTGGAAGTGTCTGGAAGTCCTGGTCAACTAGATGATTAGGCTGCTTATTCAGACATTTCTGATAACACTCAGCAGGGCGGGTTTGGGTGAAAGAGCTTTTCAGATGGCAGAGCCAAATCTCACTCCCCTAAAATCAAAAGAACGATTAAGGCGTTGGAAAAGACGCCTTGCAGTAAGAAGTTCCGGAAGTTCAATCTCTTTTGCTCGCTATGGGAAGGTCAAGGAGTGCCTTAATCACAGTCCCACGCTACCTACAGGGATAATCTCGGTAAGGGCTCCTTGGCCTAACCAGTGCGATGTAATAAAAGCCCGTGGCTGGAAGCTGAAGGTAACTTGGACTAGAAACCACATATAATTGTTGGCAGCCACAATAAATAACAATTAGAGCTTTTTCACAGGCTGGCTGCTGCTCCTTTAGCACAGGCCGCTGTTAAATCCAAATAAGATTTAAATGCGTGTGTGTGTTAGCATGTGTATGTATATATATATATACACACACACATATATATAGGCTGTCACTCAAATGACACTCGAAGAAGTAACATGGGGTGTGCAGTGCCGGATTCAGGCCAGAATCTCACAACTGTCCGGTAATCTAAGAATCTGTAAACCTACTATCCCGGAGGTTTCTTACTTTGATCTCTTTAAAGAAACTGTTATGCACATGCTTATCATGTTGACATTTAATCACTCGTAATATACGCACATGGTTCAAAGCAGGGTAATTACCATTTTTTCCAGCTCAACCTTCTTGTATGATTTGCCACCGCCTCTCCCAGCACTCTTGTTTTGAAAACCAATTCCCATTATCTAAAAGACCTTCCAAAGCAAACAGAGCAGTGCAGCACTTTCTAATATTTATTTTGCGTTCTCAAAGAAAAAACAACAGTGATAGTTCAGGGGGAGGGGAGTTGTTTTTTTTGAAAAGATACTTGGATCTGCCATGGTCTTAAATGGCCTCTCTGTCCCTTTTCCCAGGCAAAGGAGCAGCTCCAGGGCAGTTCTGTGGTGCAATCTGAGATGTTTCATGGGAATCAGCACCCAGCTAGGGCAGGAGACTGCAAATGGAAAGGGGTTAAGGTCACCACGATCCTTCCCTTTGCTCTTCCTTCCTCCAGGTCATGGACACGAGCACTTGCCCCGCAAGAGCCTCCTGCCTGGGTGCTCCGGCCCGCGTGGCGCCCATCACCCGACTCCACATCTGGCCTTCCCAACCTTATCATGGGCCAGGATTGGCGTCGGGCACAGCCTGCTCCCGGGCAGCGCTCCGAGGAAACGCACCCGATAGGAGCCGCGCTCCCGCCTCGGCCGTCGGCTCCTTGCGTGACCTTGGGCTGCAAACCCAACGCAGATAACATTTCTCGTCTGCCTCACAGGGACATTGTGAGGTCGCTGCCTCTTGGGCTCGTTATTAGCGTGGTGAGGCCACGCTAACCTCATCAACTCGCTGTCCCATCTTGCTGCAAGACAGCCCCCGTGGGGACCACCGCGGCCTCGTGCGGTGACGTGCAATCTCCCGCCTGCAGCAGGGATAACCAAGGGCTGCCTCGGCCTATTCCCGGCTCCGCTGCGCTGTGATGCCCGTGCTCGCAGGGCGCCCGAACAGCGACGCCCGCGGTGACGGGCCTGCCCGTGAACACGCGTGCGCGACGCTCGCAAAGCCGCACGCACGCGGGGCCGTCGCTGAGACGGGGCTCTGCGCATGTTTTCAGAGTGCTTTGCAAACAGTCCGTTAATAGATGACATATTTTCACTGAAGGCACAACCCGCCCAACCAGATTTTATTGCAGGTCTAAATAATCCCGGGAGAATCCAACTGCGAGCCCCGGTGCTTCGCCCTTAACCCCTGCTCCGGCTAGAGCTATGAGGGTCTCCTCGCTCCCCCAGTCCGCTTCCCACAGCGCAACTTAGGGAATAAAACAGGGCAGCTGGGACCCCCCGGCTGCTGCAGGGCTTTGGGGAGGAAGAGGAGGCGCCTGCCTCCCCCTGGCAAACCCAGTGTGGCCCGGGCAAGCGCAGGGACAAATCCCTGACGGATGAGCCGTATAACGGGACATCCTCGAGCGGCACCAGCCAGTGATTCAGCAAGCGGTAATTGCAGCCAAACGCCCCCTGCCCCAAAACTGCTTCACGTTTTCTTAATTACTAAAAATGCAGAAAATCGTCCTTGGCGCCAGCTCGACGCCTCCCCGAGGACGGGACATCTTTACCAGCCTGCAGAGGAAGTGGAGCAGAGGGAAAAGTTGGGAGATGGGGAAGGGCTGGGGGGAAGCAGGAATACTCCAGAGGGGGACAACGACATTTTGGGGGATGGGGTGATGCGGGTACAGGACACGTTGTGGGGACATTTCTCAGAGACACCGGAGAAGCCTGGCAAGGCCTCCCCATGGCGGGACGGCCTCAGGGACGTGGGGGACACGCTCAGGTGTCCCCATGCCGGGGGGAACACGTTTCTCAAGGATGCCGAGGCTGCTCTTTGACGCTCCCTCCAGAGAGGCGGGATGTTTTTCAGGACCACGGCGGGGCTTGGGGAGGACACAAGAAGGGCTCTGCACTGCGGACAGGGACGGGGATGTGGGAGCTGCAGCTCCGCACACGGCGGGGGGACATTTCGGCGCGGCGGGAGAGGTTTCCTTGGGCCCCTCTCTGGAGCGGGGGGCGCTCCTCGGGGACACGCGGGTCGCGGGCAGGGGGGGGGCGCCGGTTTTG